GGCATTTTAAATCTGCGTTAGTTCAATGACTTTATACGAGATCTCGGACGCGAAATGTCGCGAGGCCGAATCCTGACTAATTGATACGATGCTTGAAGTGCTAGACGCACGCTGATTGGCTGATCAATTATTAGAAACAGTTTCATATGTGGATTCATACGAGGTAATGTAGTTTGGTTTATGGCTGTAAAACGGCATGTATAAATGCCACTTATCCACTGCCATGGACTCGGTAGCCACAGATATATCTTCATGGATCCTGTGTCCGGTCGCGAACTGGGATACACTGAACCCGGGCCATCCTCGCCCGCGGCCCGCAGGTGGTGATGGGATATGTTGTAATTTGATGAATTAACCCTACTACTATAATCTCTTCTAGCTACGTACTGCAGTTACTAGCACGGTGTATGAGTATTTCGGGAGAGAACCAAGGCGTATTGATGGTCAAAACTGGGGTTCGGCGAGAGATCTCGGGTCCAGAGGGTGGGTGGAGCTTGGGAGCCAACTCCTCAACGCGGGTGGAGAGAAGGAAGGTGTGGCACAAGTGGATTGAGGTGTGGAGACCGTGGACGGGATCCTAAGAGTGCCAGTAGGAAGATCCTTGTCGGGTCCGTCGAGATCAGAACAGATCTGGTAGAATGGTTGTCCGTGGTGAAAGGTCAAGCTGTAGACTACTATTGTTGACGAGTATCTTTCACTGCTGGTGGTAGTATTGATATTATGATCATCTGAATGTGCAGTCAGCTAGAATGCTCTGAAGAAATTGAATTACTGCGATTACTACGTCATCTACCTGGTAACCGATCGATCGATCGAGCATTTATAAATGTCAGCATCAACCACAATCCTCCATACAACGACTAACACCAATGACACCAGCATCCCAAAGATTCCTCTTCGGAGGCGACCAGTAAGTCACCTTGCACAGATCTGACATAGCTAATGTTATAGACGATGGTCCCCCACAAACTGGACCTCCTCCGACGACCGCGTCCGGGGCGGTTCCTCGTATTCCACTCTCACCATTCTCCCAAACAACACAGTCCGACTCCACGGTCATCTGGACATCACGACCCTCGGCGGAGCAGGGTTTGCCTCTCAGCGAACGACGGACGACTTATCCTGGGATCTATCTGACGCCGACGGGCTCGAGCTGGACATCGCCGGTTCGGATGGGAAAGTGTACACTCTAGTTCTTAAAGACAGGCTATTGCCTAAACAGCCTGATGGGCGTGAGCAGAGTACGATTAGCTGGGAGTATGACTTCCGGACGGGGGAGAGGACAATTCTGAGAGTGAGATGGGGGGATCTACGACCGACGTATCGCGGGAGGGAAGTTGATGCGGACCCGTTGGATTTGAGGAATGTGAAACGGATTAGTATTATGGTTCGCAGGTATGTATTCATTTTGCAGAAAAAAGGGCCGTTATTGATATGCACTAGTTTCTTTGGAAGGCAAGAGGGTGACTTTTTGCTGGATATTGCCTCCATTGCTGCGTTCCGTAGAAACCAATTAGCTTGATATTGAGACGAGCGATAAGGAGAAACGGACTGGACTGCAGGCAACTATCTTACAGAGTATCACTACATTCCACTGCTCAGTTATAACTATGTTGTTCCGTAGCACTTTTGAATGACCATTGGTGCCACCCTGTGCAACCTGCTCTGCTATTGCTTTCCTTCTATAATGATATATCTGAGTCATAGGCTGGCAAACTATCTAAACGCTTCTTCGCTTCAGGAGATATAGGTCGGGGAGGCTCTGGTATGTAGTTCTCTGGTACATAGTGAACAACCTCCACGAATTCAACATGCAGCGATTCATACCCGATCATCCCAAGATCTTTCAGCTCATTAAAGAAATTCACCATGGCGTCCCAAGGTGGCCTTCCGCGTGGATTATCCCTCACTTTTTCTTTATATATTCGTTCTCCTTCCTCATCAGTGAACTCAATGAAATAAGCCAACCTCCTTGCAGTTTGCCTCTGGTACTCACAAGTCCCCTCTATCCATACAGGAATCTCTGACTTGAGCGCCGCCGAGGGATATTCAGCTGGGTCTTCACCATCAATGTGCCAGCATGGTAGCCCTCTAAACATTTCAATAGAGTAGATAGCTTCCTGATCTAAGTCTGCAGGGAAATAGATTGTTAGGACCTCATAAAGCCTCTGTGGAGGGAAAAGTGGGTTTGCGCGTATGATCTTCCCAGCACCAGGCATCGGCCAGGCTAGTTCTTGGCTCCATGAGCGATGTGCAAGGGCTTCATTCAATCTGAGGAAAAGCTCTGAGGTAAGAAACTCTTCCCTGTCTCTGCTGCTTCTCCACTCTAGTAGTTGGTTAATTATTGGATATTTAGAAGATGGCATAGCATCTTCTTACATGGAAAGGTTAATGCTGCTTACCGATAATCAACCACTCAATCTCGCTTAGTTCACGTGGACGGCCTCGAGCGATAACGATACATTCTTTGAGTTTGTGTATCTCTTGGAGGGTCGCAAAAAGTTCATCGCTATTTGGGATGACACCATTAGGTGGATCTTTGAGTGATATCCATTCTACCAATCTGCGGCTCTGAGGTGGCCTTTCCGCTGCAGATGGATCTTTGGCGTTTATTTTCATGGTAGTGTTGTTGATAGCATGCAAGTCATTCTGTTGCTTTGATGCGCTTTTTATTGTAGTCTTCTCAGCATTCATTTTACTGGCACGTGTGACCGATCGAGTAACAGGCATGGTGAACTAATAAGGCGGTGCTAAATAAAGATAAAGTGGTTGAGGATTTTCAAGAGGAGAGGGGAGAGGTTATATGACAGTGTATTAGGGCGCCAACCCAGAAATAGCAAAGCTTAACCACATGTTACGGCGGACTGAATGTACAAAACCGGCCAAAACTTTTTTTTACTGTCATCCGCTTGTGTTACCTATAACTAGCCACTAACTATTTCCATAATAACCCTGAACAGCAGCATGTATACCATATAGTAGGGATTGAGTTCTCATCTAGTGTCGATATCGAATGCCATC